CTATCATTTGTGCATCAGCTGCGTATCTTTCCTCTCGAGCTCTTGGGGCGGATTTCTCCTGCCACCGTCAGTCTAGCGAGCTATCTCCTCATGTTTCTTGCCACTATCTAACGCTTGACCCCTTTCCAGCCAATAATCTTGCTTCTCACAAGCTCCATCGACGATTATGTACAACTCGGCATGACTCTACTTCTGCGCCTTTTGGCTGCTGTACAATAAATGGGGAAGGGGGAAATGATTTCTTCGGAACATGGTGTTACTCTGTGCTCGCGTGGCTTGGTCGCTCGTGCGAGGATGGTTTGCGAACTCGTCTGACAGTCACAATGATAATTTCATATCATAGAAAACATAACAACTCCATAATATCAGGCAAGAATATGGTACTCATACGTGATGGACAGAGATCGATCTAGACCACCTTGATCTGGTCCTCGCCCCGGATGCCTCGCAGTGTCGTCAACTACGCTGGCTCACACCAAGTCCGCATTCTTACAAGCAGCACCCGCACTGCACTTTTCATAAAGAGAAATACCCCCAAAGCCGCCGCATACCTCATTGTTATCCCCGGTGCAGGGCAGTTCGCAAACACCAAGAATACCTTTTTTCGGCTCGCGGTCGTGGTCAACCAAGTTCCCGCAGAAGCACTCCCGTCGATACTCAACCCCTGCGTACTTGAAGCCTCTTTCGTCGCAGTATTCGACACAGCGTGCGACGGTCATATTGTCACTCGATACGTCAGTGCCGTTCAAAGTTCTGCTTTTCCCTGACGCGTCAGGGCGCATCCCCGATACCTGAAGCGATGGGAAATCGTCATGTCGGTATACGGCCACTGCGGAGGCGAGATAGTGGTAGTGGCCCCCGCAAGTTACTCTGCTGCGTGGCCCCGGCCCGGCCCACGCTGCACTGGGTTGCAACCGGGCAGCCTGTTCAGGATTCCATCAACCTGTTCCTCAACGCGGACAGGAACTCTGCAGCCCTTCATCGTTTCATCTTCGAATTGATGCAGCAAGGGGCATCTGTCCAGGGACCCAGATGCATCAGTACATTTAACGATGGCACTCTGAAGAACATCCATATCCCAGCCGTTCACGAAGTCACCGTGGAGTCCGTAAACCGTCGGGTCGCTATTCCAAAAAAAAAAAAAAAAGTCAATAAATTGTCTAGGTAGAAAAATCAAGATGGTGTACGCGGAGTCAAGACTGGACACACATACCCGTTAGAAGTAGACGAAGGGCGGAGTATCCTTGTACCATTTGTCCTTGAAAATCATCGATCTGAAAAGTGACCCTCGTAGAAGAGTGTGATAAAGCGCTTGGGGTGGCTTGTTGGGCAAACCCCATTATCAACGAGGCTCGGGTAGGCCATATGACTCTTGTGGTTCGGTGAGTCTAAATTATGTCCGTCCCAGCACGAAGGGAACATGACCTGCACTCGCAAACCCGTAGGGGCAGTTTTGGGACGGAAACTGGTGTGTTTCCGGGCCGCTGACGCCGAGACAGACATAGGAGATTGCTTGCTGCTCCAAGGTATCCCCAAAGCTTCGGAGCGAGGGGTCACCAGCGAGCATCTGAAAGCCCGGGGGAAACGCAAGTAAGCCATTCTCGTACTCAGGATCTTTGGAGTCAGAGCGCTGACTGTCACGTTCTCGGTTAACCTCTGAGTGTGCACGTTTTTGAGAACGAGCTGGTGCTTACAGATAGTAAACGAGCATGCCACCAAGTTGCTTGACTGTCTCGAACTTGCCATTCTCGCTCTCGTAGTAGAGATTTGGAATCCAGTAGTTACTCAAATCCTGCCGAACCTTACAGGTAGAGCATGCTGAGGATACCGCGTCATCATACCCCATGGTGAAGTTGAAGGCACTGCCGCCCATGATGGTATGAACATGACCAGCTAGGGCGCCTGGGTTGACTATAGGGTCTGCGCGCTGCACCACGACTGGGCGAGAGCAAGGCACAATAAAGAAAGCCTGGGCTCCGGCTGTGACCATCAAAAGGCCACCCACATTTGAGAGGAAAAGCATGGCTGGGATGAAAAGCCCAAAGGGTAGGGTGAAGCAGCAAAGTGGATGTATCTGTGCGGCAAGCTGCTATATGCTCAGCTCGATTGAATCACCTGTCTGTGAATTTGAAGTATGCGCCAGGTTGGCTTCGCACAGCTCTTGTTATATATGACGACAATCAGATCATCAACACATGGGGGGTGCTTTTTTATCATCGCTATCTGTGTCTCAAGGAGGCGGACAGTCCGCAAGGAAGTATAGTCTTGAACCGCCTGGTCAATGGGTTCCAGGCCTGTGGGCGTAAGATCCAAGGCCCGTAACAAGAGGTATGCAAGTCGGCTCAGCCACGAGGGAAACATTTCACGGGTTGCCCCGATGCCTGTACAGTATTCCCCTTTACCCAATAAGAACTATCATGGTCTCAAGGTCCACGGACTCTTTAGCCAGATTAAAGTGTCAACCCCCTGGGCAATGTAGGTAGCTGAACAGCCCTGGCTGAGTGTGGTTCGCATTCATGTGATGTCTTGGAAAATCGTGCCATCTGGGCCACATGTGTGCATGCTGAACAGGCTTCCCTAGTGCTGTCGTGGAAGGTTCGTTGTCTCAGGCCGCAGCGGACGGGGCCGAGGCCAGGGTCAGGTGGCTTGACAACAGGGTCAAATCAATGGAATCAGGTTAATATCGGCGGCTGTGTGCTTCGATACTGATACAGTATCACGCACAAGTTCGTGCTTGACTGTGCCTAGAGGTATGATACCTAGCATGCCATCGTTCGCCAGCCCCGTTTCTGGCTATTGGCCTGGGAGGACTAGGCTAGGGATCGCGTTGACATGGTAGTATTTGCATTGTTGCGGGAAGATGTCGTAGTCGTCCTGGTTCGCTTACATGGTATGCGTGGTGAGTATTTGGTCATTGTCAGTGCGGCGAGGACAAGGAAGGGCACGGGCACCTCGGCAAGAGAGGTGGCCAGCCTTCCCGCTGAAGAACCACGCACGCTCCTCGCTCAACTCCCGTCGACTTACGACTCGTAGGCTCAGTTGAGATCGCGGTTTCATCAAATATTACATCTTGATCTAGCCTTATTCGAACTACCTACTCGTGTGAGTGGCGGGTTGTGCGTGATGTAGTGCTCAGGTCTTTGCTTCTTTTGGGTGAACAATACGAAGGGTCGTTGCCAAACCAGCCAGGAACAATATCAAGAGAACAATCCACTATTCCTACGCCAGCATGCCCATTTTCCTCCACCTGCTACACCATTCTTCGTCTCACAGAATGTCGCTCAGTATGCTGTCCAAGCACTGCCGCTGGCTGCATTCTTTATATTCGGCCGGCGCAGCTACTTCTCATCCTTTCCTATCACGTCAGGACGAGCCCTCGCCATCATCCAGCCAATATTCTGCACCTAGCTCTTCGCCTGCATCTGTCCAGACGGGTGACACGAATCGAGATACTCTCTTGCAAGCTTCTGATCCAAAACCAGTCCTTACTTGCGTCACCCTTTTCTTGCACACTCCGGTGAAGCCCGACAGTCATACATTCGGTCATACAGACACAAGTTGAGCTTTCACAGGCTCAAGGCAACCGGCCCGTGTATCAAGTAGAACCAGCGCATATTCTCCTCCTCTCCGGTAGTTACCGATAATTGCTCGTATAACATTGTCCGAAGAGGATCGCGAACCAGAGCTTTCGTGACATCGCCACCGAGATTCGGCAACAATTCACGAAAAACACACTGTATCATGGCCCTATCCGACCCGTTCTCACAAACTTTCGTCCTCACTGCGTCTGACGGCGTCACCGAAATCCCCGTTGCGGTTGCCGATGTCAACGAGTTCATCCTATACAGCGTGAAAACGGTCATCAATTATGGCGCCCAGATTGGGAGCTCCTCCATACTGCTGCTCGTCTTGGTCTGCATGACACCCTCGGCAAGATTCGTCAAGCTATCCCAGTGGCTTCACATCGCCGCCTTGACCGTCAACATCGTTCGCATGATACTCCTAACTGTTTTCTTCACGAGCAGTTGGAACGAGTTCTACACATTCTTTGCTGGCGACTATTCTCGGGTCGCCCCTCGGGATTTGCAGTGCAGTGTCGCATCCGAAATTGCATCATTGGCTCTTTTCATCATGGTCCAAGCCGTCCTCGGCTTACAGGCTTGGGCGACTGTCAACCTCTTACCCGCTGTCTGGAAATGGTCCTCAGTTTTACTGTCGGCTTGTGTTTCTTTCACGGCCATCGGCATTCGCGTGGCAAGCGCAGTAGGCCAGATCAGGTTCATGCTGACGCTGTCCGATACACCATCCGTACTGGTGGCCCTCCTGACCAGTGTCATGGGTGGCACTTCTATATTTTATTATTGCGCTCTCTTCAACGTCAAGCTGGTGAGCCATCTTGTGAAGAACCGAACTTTTCTACCGACGCGGCGGGGCCTGTCTGCGGTTGAAGTACTGGTTATCACAAATGGCATTCTGATGATCATTCCTGGTTCGTATTTTCCCTGCCACCTTGTCTTCAGCATCTGACTTAGACGTGTGACAGTCATATTTGCCGGCTTTGGGTGGCGCAATTGGCAGGCTTTCGAACCTGGCTCTCTGGCCCTCACGTCCGTGATCCTATTCCTTCCCCTCGGAACGCTGATTGCCCAACGCATTGCAACGCCGGAATCTTACCACGAAGTCAAAGCCCGTCACCAAACGAGCACGGGACGATCAGATATGCCCTTTAAGGATATCTCCCAAATTGGTTCCGATGCCACTGAGAGCAATGCGGCTACGAGCACCGTTACATCTCGGATAGAGGCTGGCCGTTCTCGTGTTGCAATCGATCCCATAGACCTCGAACTGCGGCGCCTCGACGGATACGACGCTGAAATGGGAGTAGTGCGAGTCAATCGCGAATTCGATCGACGCGAGGACAGGGTTTAGAGGCTCAGGCAAGGCAACTGCACCGAAGCTCAAGTATTTTCATCTTCTTTTTTGCTTTCTCCTCGCTCCTTCGAGCCTTTCGTGTGGAAATAAGCTGGCACCCGGGAATCACTCGTAATATGAACAGAGAGATCGGAGTCCAGAGCGTTTCTTGAATTTCCTTTCCCCCGAGAGCCAAATGTACTTCCACTAGGACCTGACAATTACTTGGACCACAAGAGTTACTGGCTTCTGGCGAGCTTTGAAGAGCATGTACCTGATGTATTGATTTCATCTACTTTATTAGATAGCCGATTGCTGGTTACCGAGTGGTGATCAGCTAGTCGTTCCTTTCAGCGGTGTTTCCGGTCTGGCGCTTTCTGCGTCACCGTTCTCGAACGACGGTTTGTACGGTACGAGGCGACGGCCCGTATCATGTAGCGAATCACCCAACCAGACCCATTCCGCGCCCAATCTTCCGCACTAAAGCCTTCTTGAGGTACCATTCTCGTGCCAGTGAACGGGTTGTCTTGGCGAAAACAACGGGGGATATTCGTCCCCGTTCAACAGCGCGGCCTAGGACGAAGATAGCATCACCCATGGCACGCTCTTCCGCCACAAGTGCGTAGAGTTGATTCGAGACGACGGTCGGCGCAACCAATAGCTCATCTATATCTGGGGTCGTCTGCTGGCGTGACCCTTCGACGACAATATCTGCCTTTCTTAGCGCATCGCGCAATATGTTGGCATTGGAAGAAAGCAAGGCCGAAGTTTGATCCAAGGCGCTGATCTCAGACTGCAGAATCGAAGACGCCGACATCATGGCCTTACGTTGAGCCTGGAGGCCAGCCATACTAGATTCATTCTGTTGACGACTTTGCTGCCGCAGAGAGTAAAGCGTCTGCGCAAGTTGGCGGAGTAGTGCGTCCTTTTCGGGGTTCGGGGGGATTGGAGGTGCCGGTAGGCTGGATGGCAAGGGTATGCTGAGGGTCAGAGGCTCATCTAGCAGGTCGGGTTGAGGCGTTGCGTTCGGTTTTGCCGGAACCTGCACATTCTCTCGTGCTTGCCAGGTCACCGATGGACCTGTGACAGGTGAAGGCTGGAATGAGGCCACAGATGGCTGCACCGTCGATGATGCCTGGCCAAGTCGGTATTGTAAGGAGCTGCGAACATACGGCGGCGTTGCAGGGGTCCGAAGGGGAGAATGAGTGAGGGGGAAAGGCCGATTTTGCAATGTGGGTTGTCCCGGTAGAGGCGGCGCGGAGTCGTACCGAGATGGTGATTGACGGTGGGATTTATAAGTATGTGAAAGTTCTGGGGTGTCCTGCAATCCAGCTGGAATGGGGGGAGGGAGGGGCGCGTCGTGAGGACGTTCTGAGCCAAACTGACTGAGTCCACGCAGCCTGGTGTCAGTATCTTTGGGCGGTGGCGGAGGTCCAGTTCGCGTAGGAGCAACAGGTGGTTGACTAGAAGGGCGGCCTGCTAGCTCGTGTGTTGATGCCACAGAATGGTCTGTCAACCTCTGTAGTGGTTGAGTCTGTTGGCTAGGTGGTACGGGATGTGAGGGCTGCCGTGCTATCACAGGCGGCTCTTTGGCGAAGACATCGCGCAGAATGGTGAGGAAGTCAACGAGTGTCGATTTCTACCAAAGTGTCAGTGCAGTACTCCCGAAATCCTGTGTGAAGAACCATGAGACTCACATCCCAAAACGTGGACCAGCCAGCCAGATACGGATGGTATACCTGACCCTGGGGGTCGACATGCTGTCCGGGCCTTACCACCATATGCTCGGTGGGCGTCACGTATATAAGAGGTGCCTCCAGAGGATAGGCATAGGGCACGCGTATAGAAAGAGGAAAGCGGTAGGTGGTGCCTCGAAAAATTACGGGCAGGGTTCCTGTGATGTGCAGCAGAAGTGCAGATGTACCATTGTCAAAAGCTTCAAATGCGGGATGTCAGTCATGGAATGGACGAGGCTTGAAAATACCGAGCACTCACTGTGAACGTCGGTCCGTGGAGATAGCGATGGATACTGTGACAAGGCTTGGGCCACATCGCCATAGGTCCGGTTCACATCGTGGTATTCCTAAATGTTGCAAATCGTTAGCTCCTACGAGGTGTGCGGATAACCAGACTCAAACACTGACGCTGGTAAGAACACTGTACAGCCAATTCAGGATGTGCTGTTGAATGGGCGGCATGGCTGCACCGCAGGATTGACGGAGTGATGACACCTAGTCGCGCATATTCAGGTTCGCGTAGTGTCGTCGCAATCGTAGCAGGATTACGAGGTGTTGCGTTGTCGTACGGTCAGGCTGTTGGGTCGCAAATGTTGCAGTATGATGCATTGCCTCTTTGAAACTATCAGCTGCAGTAGTGATACCCTGTGGCCAGATAGCGTATCTATTCGTGCGCCAGATGAAGAGCAGTTGACGACGCGCTTCGCCATGGACAACGAGGTGCGAGAAGCTCGGCGCCCAACCCCTCTTACATCACTCTGTACCATAGGCGATAGGTAAGAGAAGGTAGCTGAGGCAGGTCCCGCCCAGTGAACTCCAGAGGCCCACACAGGGTGTCATCGAGTCTTTTCAGCGCATTGGGCACTAACCATCTAACATTGCATTTTACAAGGTAGTCTACTATCCGTGCCGTTTGCTCAATGGTCAACAAAGTCGCTTTTAGATGTGTTCATTGAGTGCGAAACTGGCTTGACCGGATGAAGCCTGCCGCTCCGACCCGTAGCGCGGCCGGAGTCGGAGCAATTGGCCTTTGCGCTCCTTAGACATCCAGCATTGTTGGTCAGCTAGCATTGATAAAAGGACTGGGGTAGCTTGTAGGTCACCAAAGGCAGTCAACTTGATGAAGGGCAAAAATAAAGTGCCTCATGTTGCAGAGCTGCGAGACTTGTATGTATCTGCCTTGCATCGTGCACACTATTTTTTTTTTTTGGACAAGCAGCCATCTATAAGCTAGGTACGAATTGTCAATTCGAGAGGCGAGCCTTCTGGGTATCCGTCTGCCCGAAGTCGAACGATGTCCCAAGCCGGGCATGATGACTAGTCAAAATGCCTAGCGCATTTGTGATCGAAGGAAGGACGCCTGCGGGATATTTGTTTATAACGCCGTGCCCCCGCCGCCTCGTCCGAATGTTAGTATACCAGGCACAGTGCACCCTGAACTCTACAGCAAAAGCATCGTGCCGTCTCTCCCCATCGCATGCTCGTCATCAACAAGCCATCTCGCACGGCTGAGGAGTACGCCAGACTCCGTAACTGGATACTCCTTGCGTCAGGATTTTTTTCTACAACTTCATCTCAAATCCCAGCTCACCAGGGCCACGCTCGCCATGCTTCCTCCCATTCCGATCTTGGCTGATTATGGCATATCACCAACTCACGGGTTTCTTCCCGATGTCCTGCCTCTGACACGGCTTCCAGATCCATACTACAACAAATGGGAGGCCGTTGTCAGCAACCTCCAGGCTCTCATACTGAGCCGACGCCTCCGAAGCGTGATGGACCGCCTGCCTGTCCTGTCCACTATTGGATTGGAGCACGAGGCAGAATGGCGCAGGGCGTACTCGTTGCTATGCTTCATGGCACACAGTTATGTCTGGGGCGGCGACCAGCCCTCTGATCACCTGCCCCCATCCATTACTGTACCGCTCCTGCAGGTGTCCGAGCATCTTGAGCTTCCACCTGTCGCAACATATGCTGCAGTTTGTCTGTGGAATTTCAAGCCTCTTTTCATGGATGAGGGAATCAATAGTCTCGAAAATCTGGCTTCTCTGAATACCTTTACAGGCTCCCTTGACGAATCTTGGTTCTACCTCGTCTCGGTCGCCATTGAGGCGCATGGTGCCCCAATAATTCCCCTGATGCTTACCGCTATAGCTGCGGCGCGAGAAGGCGACTTGGCTGCCGTCACTCGGTGCTTGCGCGGATTTGCGGAACGCTTGACAGACTTAACCAGCATTCTTCAACGGATGCATGAAAGCTGTGATCCTCTCGTTTTTTACAACCGCATCCGGCCGTTCCTCGCCGGCAGCAAGAACATGGCCGAGGCTGGCCTGCCGCTCGGCCTTAACTACGACGATGGCTCCGGAAGACTCGACTACAGGTTTTATAGCGGCGGCAGCAACGCTCAGAGTAGTCTCATCCAATTTTTCGATGTCGTACTTGGAATCGATCACCGTCCTACTGGCGAGTTCGGGGGAAAAACTCCTAGCCATTCGTCTGAGTCGCCGCGCGAGGATCGGGCGCCAGGCCAGCGTCACAATTTCATTATGGACATGCGTCGCTACATGCCTGGTCCGCACGCTCGCTTCTTGAATCAGGTCGGCCTCGTAGCCAACGTGCGAGACTTTGTCGAAACTCACGCAGACAACCCGCAATTGACTCTGGCCTACGATGCCTGCCTCGCCATGCTGAGTACTTTCCGCGACAAGCACATTGCTATTGTGACTCGCTATATCATCGTTCCTTCTCGAGAGGTTCGCGCTCGTAGCAGGTCGCGCAGCCCCGAGGCTACGAGGAAGCGTCTCGACTTGCGTCAGCTTCTCGCCAACGGAAGGATGTTGAGGAACTGGCCAGTCGTCGGGACCCACAGGGACTGCGAACACGAAGCTCAAGGCACGGAGGAACTGCCTTGATTCCATTCCTCAACAGGCCAGGGATGAGACTGGTGAGCCGGCCGTCGCAGGAGTGACCAAAAGATTCATGACACGAACGAACAGACGAGGGAGGGCGATTTCTTCATGGCAAATCTGAGTGTCTCGATCATCGAGAGTACAAGTTGGGGACTAGCAGGTACATGG